TTTGCTCATAATTGTGAACTTTAAACTATTGCTTCTTGTACTTGTGCTCAGAATGTGTGGTGACATTATGATCCACCCTGAGCTTGTTCTGCTTTGCTTGCTCTGCTGATTACACCCCACTTTGGCTATGGGGGTGTGTCAGAATGTTATGCTCTAGCCTGTAGTGGGGTGCTCTATAGCGAGTACAACCCTTCTAGGGTTTGCTATTTGTGTCCTCATTCCTGATAGTGAACCCCTCCTTTTTGCCTAAACTATTTCTTGCCTAGCTAGGGCTTTCCTAGCTATGGCACCTTCTTCTACTGCTTATCTTCACATAAAGAACTACCCAACCTCTGAACCTAACATGCGAACGTTTTCGCCAGAATGTTTAGATAACTACCAATTAGCTGCGCTTTGCCAAGTCAGCATCGGCAGGTGAAAATTACAACACATGCTTAGTTGGTAATTTTTATAAGAATGTTGTATTTGTCTAGCCTACAGTGGGGTACTCTATAGCGAGTACAGCCCAATCTAGGGTTTCCTATATGTACTCAACTGCTTGCGGGTGCAACCCCTCTTCCTTGTTCTAAACTTTCTGCTTACCTTTCGACATGCTATCAGAGCCTGTCCTTCCTTGGCCTGTGGGCCCACCAACCTGCTTTCGCTGCTACTCGATCTGTCGCACGCCCTGTGGCGTGCGACGTTGGCGCGCGGCGGTTTACTCTCTGGCGCGCGCCCGAGGCGCGCGGCCCCTTTTCTTCCTGGCGCGCCGGCCCCGTTGGACCTGCGCGCCGCACCCCGTCGACCCTCGCGTCGCCTCAGGGGACCCGCGCGCCACCCCCGTCGACCCTCGCGTCGCCCCTGGAGACCTGCGCGCCACCCCTGGAGCCGTGCGCGACCCCCCCCGCCGCCTCGTCGCGGCGCCCTGGGGAGCCGCGCGCGGCCCCTCGCTGCCCCGTGGTGGCGCCCTGGGGGCCGCGCGCCGTCCCCCTCGCCGCCCCCCCGCACTCCTACCCCGTGCCACCCGTTTTAGGGTTTGGGGGTGGGGAGTGTGGGGGTGGCGGTTGTGGGGGTGTCGGTTGTGTGCGCCGTCCCCTACTCCTCCTCCTCCTCCGTCTCCTGCTGCTGCAGCTGCCGCTCAGGGGGGTGGGTGTGTGGGAGCCGAAGGAGTGGTGCTAGGGGGGTGTCGTGGGAGTGGAGCTAGGGGTGCAGCAGGGGGTGTGTGATAGGGGCGTGGGGTAGCTGGGGGGGGTTGAGTGGAGGCAGCCGTCGTGTCGTCAGCAGCGCCAGTAGTCCGGAGGCTACAATCTCCGGTAGTCGCCAGTCGCCTGTGGGTCAGTTGCTCCAGCCAGGAGGCTACAATCTCCACGGAGCCAGTTACTCCTGTAGTCCGGGCCTTTGCTTCGGTAACCACAGAGCCAGCAGCTCCTGTGTGTCTGGAGCTTCAGCAGTCGCCTCCCATCTTCTCGCCCCCACAGTCTCTCCCCTCCTCACTTGCCCTCCATGATAGCCTCTAGCTTTGCTTGCAATTGTGAACCTGCTCTATGACTGCGTGCTCTGCTGATTACACCCCACTTTGGCTATGGGAGTGTGTCAGAATGTTGTATTTGTCTAGCCTGCAGTGGGGTACTCTATAGCGAGTACAGCCCAATCTAGGGTTTCCTATATGTACTCAACTTCTTGCTAGTGCAACCCCTCTTCCTTGTTCTAAACTTTCTGCTTACCTTTCGACAATTTTGACCTACCTAAAAGTATTTATCTTAACTGTTCAGACTGTTTTAAACAACTTCTGTAACGCGCATTTTTGTAAACTACGAAAACGTGCGCCAAGTTCAGACTGTGCAGGTGGTTCAATTCACCCCCAGATTGAACACCCCAAGTTCACGCACTGTTCCGGAGGTCAATTTCCCAATGTCCCGCAATGTTCCGAAATCCCCACGCAAAAGTTCCGAAACGATTGCGTTTTCGCGTCGGAGAGGTTCTTCGGTCGATAACGTGCTTCTCTGCAGAAATCCGCTTCTGCAGAAGCGTCCTTCTCTGCAGAACGATATTTGCAGATGTGCACTCTTCTGCAGATGCGCACTCTTCTCCGTCACCACGATCTGCTCTGCAGATTCGCCCTCCTCTGCAGCACCACGATCTGCAAATTCTCCTTGTTCTGCAGAGCTCCACCTCGACCTAGGACGTAGAATTTGCTTCGGCGGAAATCCCTTTCCCTGCAGAACGCGACGACCCTTCTTGTAGGTGTTGAGAATAGGAGGCTATGTAAAGCCTAGGGTTGAGGCTTAGGAAAGTAGCGAGAGGAAATGCAAGCCAAAAAGAGGTGGTTCACTATAGAGCGAGCAGTACAAATAGGCAAGAATGAAGAAAGGTGCACCACCAAACAGAAAGTTATATGACTACAGTATTCTACACTACAGGCAGTTACAAAACAATATATAGAGTTATATATTATTCTGACAGTAGGGTTAGTGTTATCTCAACATTGGAGGCTTGTCGCTCTGAATGTACTGAATATGTACGGTCTTGACATGAAGTCGTAGGCTTTTTGGAAGCTAACCAAAAGCAAGTACCAGTCTTCTCTCCCCACAATAGCTGCATCAACCAGATCCGAGACCACCGAGTCTGCATCTGCCAACTTGCAGCTCGATACGAAGCCATGTTGGTCCCCCGAGATCACCGTCGGCAAAACTTTGCGAGTCCTGTTGGCCATAACCTTCGCGATGATCTTGTATACCGCATTGAGCAGTGTTGGCCAGTAGTTCCCCAAATTATCCTTATCCCCTTGTCCAAAAACCCGTCATCTCGTTAGACCATAAGATGGGGTCTAAATAATAAAGTACATGGCAATCGCCGATAGAAGAATATCTTGTGAAATTGAACGAGAATGAAAAGACTAAGGGAAAGTTGGGTACAAGTACAAACCCTAGAAAGCTGTACCCCATATGTGCTACCCCACTATAGCCTACAGCAACTAAGTCATATAAATCTGACACACCCCCATAGGCAAAGTGGGGGAGGACAAGGGGTCACAAGACCAGTCAAGCAAAGCAAAGCAAGCTCAGGGTGGATCACAACGTCACCACACATTCCGAGCACAAGTTCAAGGCCACAAGGCCAGTTCACATGCAGGATTACATATATATATAAGGCTAAACAAGTAAGAGCAGGTGTATATATATATGCAACAGTACAAACAAGGTCAAGGGGTGAGCAAGTGAGGCAAGGTAGGCACAAGACCCAGTTGAGTACAGAAGCGCTGATGATCACAAGGCGCAAGTGCCTTGGTGAAGATATCAGCAGTGTTGGCCTGAGAGGCCACGTACGCAAGGCGCAGCTGACCACGCTGCTGTAGCTCACGAGCAAGGAAGTAGCGAAGAGCAATGTGCTTCGTTCTATGCTCCACTCTCTGCTCCCGACACAAGGCCAGCATGGCCTTGTTGTCTACGTACAGCATTGGAGGAGAACGAGGCGGCTCTCCGAGGTCAGTCAGCACGTAGGTGAGCCAGCGAAGCTCCTGTGCAGCCATGGCCCCTGCGTAGATCTCAGCCTCACAACTGGAGCCGAGAACAGAAGACGAGCGAGTAGCCCTGTGAAGTTTAGAACGAGAGAATGGTTGAACTATGAAAGAGTTGGGTACAAGTGCTAACCTTAATTTGGTTGTACCCCTTATGGGCTACCCCACTACAGCCTACACAGATGTATAAGCAATAATGGTCTCACACACCCCCATAGGCAAAGTGGGGGAGAACAAGTGGTCACAAGACCAGTCAAGCAAAGCAAAGAAGCTCAGGGTGGATCACAAAGTCACCACACAGTCCGAGCACAAGAGCAAGGCCACAAGGCCAGTTCACATGCAAGATCATATAAATAAAGGTAAACAAGCAAGTGCAGGTATAGAAATAGTACTGTACAAACAAGATCAAGAAGTGAGCAAGTGAGGCCAGGTAGGCACAAGACCTAGCAAAGTACAGAAGCGCTGATGATCACAAGGCGGAAGGGCTTTGGTGAAGATATCAGCAGTGTTGGCCTCAGAGGCCACGTAAGCAAGGCGCAGCTAACCACGCTGCTGCAGCTCACGAGCCAGGAAGTGGCGGAGAGCAATGTGCTTCGTTCTGTGCTCCAGTCTGTGCTCCTAACACAAGGCCAGCATGGCCTTGTTGTCTACGTACAGAACTGGAGGAGAACGAGGCGGCTCTCCTAGGTCAGTCAGCAGGTAGGTGAGCTAGCGTAGCTCCTGTGCAGCCGTGGCCCCTGCGTAGATCTCAGCGTCACAGCTGGAGCTAAGAACAGAAGACGAGCGGGTAGACCGCGACGAAACAGAGCCGGAGCCAAGGCTGAAGGTGTAACCCTGTGACGACCGCTGCAGAGCCTGGTCGTCAGCCCAAGAAGCGTCAGCGTGATCTGTGAGGACCACACGACGTCGCCCTCCAAGCACTAGCCCCATGCCCGATGTACTGCACACGTAGCGCAACACCCTCTTCGCTGCAGCCATGTGCTCTGGTCTGTGTCTCCCAGGAGCAACATAGCGTGCCAAGATGCTAAGAGGGTATGCAAGGTCAGGTCGTGTGTAGGTCATCAGGTACATGAGGCAGCCAACGAGCTCTAAGTACGGGCCACTCGGCTCTACGGACTCATCCGAAGGCAGAGCTGAGAGCGAGTGGCGGGTAGACAGAGGAGTGGCTTGAGGCGAGGAGTACGTGAAGCCGAAGCGCTGAAGGACCTGCTGCACCATGTGTGACTGAGTCAGGGTAATGGTGCGGCGTGCTCTGTCCCGGGTGATCTGCAGGCCAAGGTAGCTGCGTAGTTCACCCAGGTCTGTGCACGTGTGTCTCTTCTACAGCTCGGACTTCACGTGGGCGAGTCCAGCAGTGTCAGCAGTGGCAAAGACCAAGTCGTCGACGTACACGAGGATGTAGAACGGCGGCAAAGAGGTGTCGGTGCGCCGAAACAGCGACGGGTCGGCAGTAGAGGGAGCAAACCCATGAGCCGCAAGTGTAGTTCTCAGTGTGTCGTGCCACTCACGCGGTGCCTGGCGGAGACCGTAGACTGGCCGCCGGAGGCTCCACTGGGTACGAAGGGGGAAACGACCCAGTGAAGCCAGGAGGGCAGCGCAACCAGATCTCCTCGTGCAGGCTGCCCTGCAGGAAAGCTGTGCTGAAGTCAAGAGAGTGAAGCTCGTAGTCGCGCTGAGCGGCTATGTGCAGCAGCACCCGAAGAGTGGTCATCTTCGGGGTGGGAGAGAAGGTCTGGAAGTAGTCAACTCCCTGACGCAGACTGAAGCCTCGAGCCACGTAACGCGCCTTGAAGACAGACGGAGAACCCGGCGGCCGCTTCAGCCTGAAAATCCACATGCCACTGACGATGTTCGCCCCAGTTGGGGGAACCTCGTCAACTTAGGTGCCTGTGGACTTCCAGGAAGCCATCTCTGCGTCCATGGCTGACTGCCACTGAGAGGAGTAGGGACCCTCGATCGCCTGAGCGTACGATCGAGGAGTCGGGATGTCTGGTGCATCCGGGTCTCCCTCAGGGGCAATTAGCGTGGACACGAGATGGGGCAAAGCAGCAGCAAAGCACTGGAACTCCTCCTGCCTGTCCTCAAGGACGTCCGTGCTAAGAGCATACTCACCCCCGACGGACGGAGGACAGACAGACCCAGACTCAACAACGAGACTAGCAGCGTAGTTTAGACAACAGCGAGCGGCGAAGTCAACAAGCTCAGCAACTAGGGCAGACGCAGCAGTGGACTCAAAGGAAGGGTCAGTGACAACAGTAGCAAGGAGGCGCGTGACCGAAGGACTAGCAGCACAAAGAGAGTCAGACTCCCGGTCAGCAAGATTAGGAAGAGAGGACTTTGGAGGAGACGGCAACAGGACACGCAGAGGAGCAGTGGAAGGACGCAGCGCCATCTGGTGTGTGCCGGGGACCGCAGGAGGACGCGGACGTGAAGTGCGACCACTATTGCGAGCAGCACGAACAGGCGACGCAGGACGAGGCGCAGGCTCACGACGCTCAGCAAGACCCCCAGTAGGACCACTGAAGGGAGAAGGAGCGGGTAGAGGGGAGGCGGGCTGTAACTGTGACTGCGACTGGACAGGCTGTGGACACTCTTAGGAAGGAGCAGGACCAGGAGAGGGCGGGAGACCAAGGACCTGCTCCAGGAGCGGAACGAAGTACGGCCTCGGTCGCTCAGCGCCTCCAGAACCAGCAAGGACGGCACCAGTACCCCCAACGGCAGCACCTGCGTCAGCAGCACCTCCAACTCCAACAGCGCCAACTCCAGCACCCTCAGAAGCTCTAGCGCCAGCAGCACTGCCAGCGCCAACACCGCTTGCAGCTCCAGCTCCAGCAGCACCAACTCCAGTAGGACCGTCAGCTCCAGCAGCCTCAGCAGCACCCCCAGACGCACCAGCGCCAGTAGAAACACCAGCGCCAACACCCCCAGCAGCTCCAGCTCCAGCAGCACTAGTACCGTCAGCAGCTCCAGCAAGACCAACTCCAGTAGCCCCAGCAGCACCCCCAGTCTCAGTAGCACGTCTCCAGCGGCGGGCAAACCAGTCGCGCAGCTCCTGTGGAGAGAGTGGCTCCCGCCTCGAAGAAGCACCGGCGGCGGCCACACGAGCAGACCCAGCGCCCCCAGGCTCGGCAACCCCAGGCTCCGCACCTCCAGGCTCCGCACCCCCAGACCCAGCACCCCCAGGCTCAACACCCCCAAACACAGCACCCTCAGACTCCGCACCCCCACGCTCAGCACCCCCAGTCTCAGCACCCCCAGACCCGGCACCCGCAGGCTCAGCACCTCTAGCAGCACCAGAGTCAACAGCTACCTCGACAGGCTCGACTGCGTCTACCTGGGACACACCTGACGGGGCAGGACCCTGAGGGGGAAGGGGGTCTACCGGGGGAGGACCTGGTGCAAGGAAGAGCGGGGGCGGGGGGAGGGACGCAGTGCGGTAGGGGAAGAGACGGTAGTAAGGCACCGACTCGTCAAAGGCGACGTCCTGGGAGCACAGAACACGGCGCGAGATGGGGTGGTAAAACTGCCACGCAGGCGCATCAGGGGGGAAGCCAAGGAAGATGCAGGGAACAGAACGGGGGGACAGCTTGTCCGCAGACAAGTCGCGGACAAACGCCCGAGATCCCTAGACCCGAAACGCAGACGCATCGCCAACCTTCCTGGTCCACCGCAAGGCGGGGGAGGTCTCTGGCAAGGAGACCCTGGGCTGAAGGTTGAGCTGATGCGCGGCATATTGAACCGCAAACGGCCACAGAAAATGGGGGGCAGCCGCATGCATCATGGACATACGAGCGACGTCCATGACCATGCCAATGCGGCGCTCAGCAATCCCATTTTTCTGTGGAGAGGCCGGAAGCGTGAAGGTCTTGCGGATGCCCTGTGCACGACAGAAGGCTCCCAGACGGGCAGAGGAAAACTCCCCGCCTCTGTTCGAATGCAGACGCAGAACAGGAAAGTCCGAGCCGAAACTCTCCCTGAGCTGGAGACGAGCTGCGCGGATCCAGTCGATCAACACCTCAGTGACATCACCCTTGCTGCGCAAGGGGAAGACTGTGGTGTAACGCGAGTAGTCGTCAACCACCAGCAGGAAGTACCGCTCGCGTTCCTGCCCACTGACGCGGGCGGGGCCCCACACGTCCATGTGGAGAGTCTGCAGCGGAGCCTCTGTCGGAGGAAACTCGGAGGAGTGAGGGGCGGCGCGTTGTCGCCCTTCGACGCAGGGGACGCAGGTAGGGCCAGGCCCCGGAGGTAGGGGAGGGAAGACCGAGGGAGACCAGAGACAAGGACATGGGAGGCCATGCCTCGGAGACGAGGCAGGGAGGGGTGACCAAGGCGGTGGTGCCTAAGGAGAGTCTGGTGGGACAGTAGACGACACGAGCAGGGAGCAGACTCAGGACCAGACCTGGACGCTCCAGCAAACAGCTGACTCGACGCAGCTACCTTGGCAGACTCAGCAGCCGGAGGAGACTCAGTAGTAAGGGTGTACAGACTCGACCCTGGCCGACGGGTGAACGTGGCCAAGTGTCGGCCTGTCCGAGCACACGTGCAGTGGGTCACTCGCTGACTCGCAGGAGTGAACTGGTCAACCCCCCTATCCTGTAGGTCCGCTCCACTCACCAAGTTCGTGGAGAACGAGAGGAGGTAGAGACCTGACAGGGTGCCAGTGGGGGCTGCTGGGCACGGTAAGACAGTAGAGAAGCGAGCAAGGACGAGACCCCCAGAGGGGTCCACCAGGGAGACTACAACCGGCCGACTGAGCGGCGTAAGAGTGGTGCGGTCTCGAAAGAAGGAGCGGGAAGCACCCGAGTCAAGGGTGAAGGTGTGGAAGGCCTAAGCCGACGTAGTACATGAGAGAGCAGACTCACCAGCACCTGGGGCAGCAGACGCACTGGCACCTGGGGTAGCAGACGCACTAGCACCTAGAGCAGCAGCCTCACCAGCACCTAGAGCAGTGGCCTCAATGCCCGGGTTAGGCGGTACACACAGGTAATAGTCACCCTCAACACTAGTAGTCACAGAATACATGGCAGCGAGGATAGCATCAAAGTCAAGATCAAAGATGGCAACCTCCGCCCTAGACAGATCTCCCCAGCGAGGGATCTCTGACGCCTCAGGGAACTGGCGACGCCACGCGTCCGTCAGGCGACTGAAGCAGCGCTGGGTGGAGTTCGGGCCCCCGCACTGCTCACTAGCTCGGTCGCCGGTACGGAGGACGTAAGTGCAGGGACCAGTACCCCCACCTCGCTGACGCGCAGTGTACCACTCACGAAGCTGCTGAGGGATCAGGGTCACACCACTTCGCTGCTGCTGGCGCGGACCACCACCTGAGCCACTCCTCTGCGCAGAGTCGCGACCCGCTCCACCACCGCCGCCGCCGCCGCTGCCTCCGCCGCCTCCTCCACCTCCGCCTTCTCCGCCACCTCCGCCGCCTCCGCTCCCTCCGCCACCACCGCCGCCTCCTCCGCCTCCATTGCTGCTGCCGCCGCCGCCACCCCTGGCACCACTCCCACCACCACCCCCACCCCCTCCACTGCCTCCACCACCACCTCCACCACCCCCGCCAGCCCCTCCAGCGCCCTTGCCCCCCTTGCCCTTGCCAGTGCGGCGTCTCCCGCTCTGGGCAGACGCAGCGCCGACCGACTCGAAACCAACGAGGTCGGCCGCAGCGGCAGAGGCAACAGAAGGCAAGAGGGGGGAGGGGGAACACCCCTCAAAGACGGGGGTGCGAGGGTCACCACAAGAGGCTCCTACAGCGACTATGCTCTTCTCTGCTGCTAGGAGGGCCTTGTACAGGGGAAGAGTAGCGTGCAACTACAGCGTCGTACAAGGTCTGAGCACTCTTGTACTGGCTAAAGTGTGCACGCTCAGTGGTCGGTAAGTGGCGGCGCACAGCAAGGCGAGCAGCAGCATCACGCGTGGCACACTGTGAGCGAACAGTGGCGTCAGCATCCACAGCAGGGGCAGGAGAGGCACCAGAAGTGAGGTAAAACAGGGAGAGACTGTCTGCCCTATCGCATTGTAGGAAAAGCTGCAGATCATCTACCCAAACCTCAAAGTCAACCGCCCGACCCTCAGCGTCAAAGGTGAGAACACTAGTGGTGGCCATGACAGCAGTAGACAGGCAGTGAGTACAGTGGGGTAGGGCAGTGCAGTGGCAGAGGCGCTGCTCTTACCAGGTAAGTGAGGCGGACCCGGGCAAGCCGACAGGTGGCGGCGCCTTGGCTGCAGTGCGGCTCGGCGGCTCGGCGGCAAAACGCAGCTCGGCGGCTCGGCGGCAAAGGCGGCTCGGCGGCTCGGCAGCACAGGCGGCTCGTCGGCTCAGCGGCTCGGTGGCTCGGCGGCGCAGCGGCTCGGCAGCTCTGCAGCAAAGGCGGCTCGGCGGGGCCGCTGAAGGGCGGCGACGGGGCCGCTGAAAGGGCGGCGACGGGGCCGCGGAAGGGCGGCGACGGGGCCGCTGAAGGGCGGCGACGGGGCCGCTGAAGGGCGGCGATGGGGCCACAGGTAGGGGCGGCGACGGGGCCGCTGAAAGGGCGGCGACAGGGCCGCGGAAGGGCGGCAACGGGGCTGCTGAAAGGCGGCGACGGGGGCGCTGAAGGGCGGCGACGGGGCCGCTTAAAGGGCGGCGACGGGGCCGCGGAAGGGCGGCGACAGGGCCGCTGAAGGGCGGCGACGGGGCCGCAGGTAGGGGCGGCGACGGGGCCGCTGAAAGGGCGGCGACAGTGCCGCGGAAGGGCGGCGACGGGGCCGCTGAAAGGCGGCGACGTGGCCGCTGAAAGGCGGCGACGCGGCCGCAAAAAGGGCGGCGACGGGGCCGCGGAAGGGCGGTGACAGGGCCACGGAAGGGGTGGGCGGCGACGGGGCCGCTGAAGCGGCAGCGATGGGGCCGCGGAAGGGCGGCGACGGGGCCGCGGAAGGGCAGCAACGGGGCCGATGAAGGGTGGCGACGGGGCCGCAGTTAGGGGCGGCGACTGGGCCGCTGAAAGGGCGGCGACAGGGCCACCTAAGGGCGGCGTCGGGGCCGTAGAAGGGGCGGGGACGGGGCCGATTAAAGGGCGGCGCGACGGGGCCGCATGGACGGCGCGACGGGGCCGCAAGGGCGGCGCGACGGGGCCGTTAGGGGCCGTAAGAGGGGCCGTTAGAGGGCCGTAAGAGGGGGAACGACACGGGGCGCGACTCAAGCAGGGGCCAAGCACGCTCCGGGCAGGAAAAAAAAGATCCGTGGGCCCTAGGAACAGTTCCCACGAGGGAACCAGCTCTATACCATGTGAAGTTTAGAACGAGAGAATGGTTGAACTAGGAAAGAGTTGGGTACAAGTGCTAACCCTAATTGGGTTGTACCCCTTATGAGCTACCCCACTACAGCCTACACAGATGTATAAGCAATAATGGTCTGACAAGCCCGCCACGAAACAGAGCCGGAACCAAGGCTGAAGGTGTAACCCTGTGACGACCGCTGCGTAGCTTGGTCGTCAGCCCAAGAAGCGTCTGCGTGCCCAGTGAGGACCACTGGACTCTGCCCTCCAAGCACAAGCCCCATGCCCGATGTACTTCACAAGTAGCGCAACACCCTCTTCGCTACAGCCATGTGCTCCGGTCTGTGTCTCCCAGGAGCAACATAGCGTGCGAGAATGCTAAGAGGGTATGCAAGGTCAGGTCGTGTGCAGGTCATCAGGTACATGAGGCAGCCAACAAGCTCTGGGTACGGGCCACTCGACTTTGCGGACTCATCCGAAGGCAGAGCTGAGAGCGAGTGGCGAGTAGGCAGAGGAGTGGCCTGAGGCGAGGAGTACGTGAAGCCGAAGCGCTGAAGGACCTGCTGCACCATGAGTGACTGAGTCAGGGTAATGGTGCGGCGTGCTCTGTCCCGGGTGATCTGCAGCCAAGGTAGCTGCGCAGTTCACCCAGGTCTAAGCACGTGTGTCTCTTCTGCAGCTCGAACTTCACGTGGGTGAGTCCAGCAGTGTCAGCTGTGGCAAAGACCAAGTCGTCGACGTACACGAGGATGTAGAACGGCGGCAAAGAAGTGTCGGTGCGCAGAAACAACGACGGGTCGGCAGTAGAGGGAGCAAACCCAAGAGCCGCAAGCGTAGTCCTCAGTGTGTCGTGCCACTCACGCGGTGCCTGGCGGAGACCGTAGACTGGCCGCAGGAGGCTCCACTGGGTGCCAGGAGGAAAAGTCCTAGTGAAGCCAAGTGGGCGGTGCAGCCAGATCTCCTCGTGCAGGCTGCCCTGCAAGAAAGCAGTGCTGAAGTCAAGAGAGTGTAGCTCGTAGTCACGGTGAGCAGCTATGTGCAGCAGTACCCGAAGAGTGGTCATCTTCGGGGTGGGAGAGAAGGTCTGAAAGTAGTAAACTCCCTGCCACTGACTGAAGCCACGAGCCACGTAACGCGCCTTGAAGACAGGCGGAGAACCCGGCGGCCGCTTCACCCTGAAAATCCACATGCCACTGACGATGTTCGCCCCAGGCGGGGGAACCTCGTCAACGTAGGTGCCTGTGGACTTCCAAGAAGCCATCTCTGCGTCCATAGCTGCCTACCACTAAGAGGAGTAGGGACCCTCTATCGCCTCCGCGTAAGAGCGCGGAGTCGGGATGTCAAGTGCATCCGGGTCTCCCTCCGGGGTAAGCAGTACGGACATGAGATGAGGTGAAGAAGCAGCCAAACACTGGAACTCCTCCTGCCTGTCCTCAAGGACGTCCGTGCCAAGGGCACACTCACCCCCGACGGACGGAGGACAGACAGACTCAGATGCAGCAACAAGACCAGCAGCGTAGTCTAGACGACAGCGAGAAGCAAAGTCGACGAGCTCAGCAACTAGGGCAGACGCAGCAGTGGACTCAAAGGAAGGGTCAGTGACAACAGTAGCAAGGAGACGCGTGACAGTCGGACTGGCAGCACGAAGGGAGTCCGACTCTGGGTCAGCAAGAGCAGGAAGAGAGGACTCAGGAGGAGAAGGCAAAGGGGCACGCAGAGGAGCAGTGAACGGACGGAGAGACATCCGGTGCGTGCCGGGCACAAGGGGAGGACGCGGACGCGAACCACGACCACTAGCGTGAGCAGCACGGACAGGCGACGCAGGACGAGACGCAGGCTCACGACGCTCAGCAAGACCTCCAGTAGGACCAGTGTAGGGAGAAGGAGCAGGTAGTGGGGAGGCCGGCTGTAACTGTAACTGTGACGGGACAGGCTGTGGACACTCTAAGGGAGGAGGAGGACCAGTAGAAGGCGGGAGACCAAGAACCTGCTCAAGGAGCGGAACGAAGTACGGTCGAGGCCGCGCAGCGACTCCAGACACAGAAGGGACAGCTCCAGCACCCCCAGTGGTAGCACCAGCGCCAACAGCACCTCCAGCTCCAATACCCCTAGTAGCTCGAGTAGCTCCAGGACCTCTAGCAGCACCAGTAGGACCCCCAGCAGGCCCGCCTCCAGTACCGCCAGCGCCAACACCCTCAGCAGCTCTAGCTCCAGTCGGACCACGAGAAGACGCAGTGGCTCCAGCTCCAGTAGTACCCGCAGGCCCACCAGCTCCAGTATTCCCAGTACGAACACCTCCGGGACCCGTGGCACCAGCACCCCCAGCAGCCGAAGAACCTCCAGCTCCAAAAGCACGCCTCCAGCGCCGGGCAAACCACTCACGCACCTCCTGTGGAGAGAGTGGCTCCCGTCGAGATGGAGCACACGGAGAACCTCCAGGCCCAGCACCGCCACACGCCACACAAGCAGGCCCAGCTCCCTCAGGCTCCGCACCCCCAGGCTCAGCACCTCCAGGCGTAGCACCCCCAGGCTCAGCACCCCTAGTCATAGCACCCCCGGGCTCAGCACCCCCAGACTCAGCACCACCAGGCTCAGCACCCCCAATTGTAGCACCCTCAGGCTCAGCACCCCCAGACTCAGTACCCCCAGGCGTAGCACCCACACGCTCATCACCCCAAGAGTCAGCACCCCCAGGCTCAGCACCCTCACCAGCACCAGAGTCACCAACAACCTCCACAGGCTCGACTGCGTCTACCTGGGACACACCTGAAGGGGCAGGACCCTGAGGGGGAAGGGGGTCTACCGGGGGGGGACCTGGCACAAGGAAGAGCGGTGGCGGGGGGAGGGACGGAGTGCGGTAGGGGAAGAGGCGGTAGTAGGGGACCGACTCGTCAAACGTGACGTCCTGGGAGGACAGAACACGGCTAGAGTTGGGGTGGTAGAACTGCCACCCTGGTGCGTCAGGGGGGAAGCCAAGGAAGACGCAGGGAGCAGCACGAGGGGACAGCTTGTCCGCAGACAAGTCGCGGACAAACGCCCGAGATCCCCAGACACGGAACGCAGATGCATCGCCAACCTTCCCCGTCCACAGTAAAGCTGGGGAGGTCTCCGGCATGGAGACCCTGGGCTGAAGGTTGATCTGATGCGCCGCGTACCGAACCGCAAACGGCCACAGAAAATGGGGGGCAGCCGCATGCATCATGGACGTACGGGCGACGTCCATGACCATGCCAATGCGGCGCTCAGCAATCCCATTTTGCTGTGGAGAGTCCGGAAGCGTGAAGGTCTGGCGGATGCCTCATGCACAACAGTAGGCTCGCAGAAGGCCAGAGGAGAACTCTCCGCCTCTGTCAGAGTGCAGACGCAAAACAGGAAAGTCCGAGCCGAAGCTCTTCCTGAGCTGGAGACGAGCTGCGCGGATCCAGTCGATCAACACCTCAGTGACATCATCCTTGCTGCGCAAGGGGAAGACTTTGGTGTAACGCGAGTAGTCGTCAACCACCAGCAGGAAGTAGCGCTCGTGACCCTGTCCACGGACGCGGGCTGGGCCCCACACGTCCATGTGAAGCGCCTGCAGCGGGGCCTCTGTCGGAGGAAACTGGGAGGAATGAGGGGCAGCACGCTGCCGCCCCTCGACACAGGGGACACAGGTAGGGGCAGGCCCCGGAGGAAGGGGAGGGAGGGACCGGGGAAGACCAGAGACAAGGACACGGGAGGCCATGCCTCGGAGACGAGGCAGGGAGGGGTGACCAAGGCGGTGGTGCAAGTGGAGAGTCTCGTGAGACAGGAGGCGACATGAGCAAGGGGCAGACTCAGGACCAGACCTGGACGCTGCAGCAAACACCTGACCCGA